CCACAACTACTGTCGGAACCCGGATCGGGATCCGCGGGGACCCTGGTGCTATGTCAGCGGCGAGACCGGAGCCCCTGAGAAGCGGCCTTGCGAGGATGTGCGCTGTCCAGGTACCCGCACTGCCACCCGGTACCCTGTAATCCCGGCGTACCCGGCTGAAGCTGAGCTGTGGTTACACCCGCTGCGCACGTGCGGCCGCAGGACGCGACCGCTCCCGCTCCGCCCCCGCGCCGTCTTGATTGGTCAGGGCTGTCTCCAGGCCGCGGGGCTCAAAGCCTATTGGCAGTAGCCACCGCTCGGAGTGAGCTCATCCTCTGCGAGCCCTCGTAAACAACCGTGGGAGGCGAGCCCTCTCCTTCTGAGAGCCGCGCCGGGTGGCTCTTGGTGTTCCCCTGCTAGTATGTTTACTGTGGAGAGTATGCATTGTGCTGGGCACACTGCTGACATCCTCCCGGAGGAGAAGCTATTTATTTGAGAGATATGAGTCGCAGAGTAGTTCAATCACATACTAAAGGCAGTGGCAGGGTTCAGATTTGAATTAGTTTCTTTCTTTCTTTTTTCGAACTGGGGACTGAACCCAGGGACGCTCTACTACTGAACTCACCCCCAGCCCATTTTATTTTGAGACAGGGTCTTGCTAAATTACGTAGGGCCTTGCCAAATTGCTGAGGCTGGCCTCGAACTTGCGATCTTCCTGCCTCAACCTCCGGAATTGCTGGGATTACAGACGTGTGCCGCCACACCCGGCTTGAATCCCAGTTTCTAAGACAACAGGAAAGCAGTCCTGTTGCTCCTCAGGCAGCAAGAGAGTTCTCTAGATTTAATGGGATAATCAAAGTAAAGCATTTTATCACAGGGTTTTGCACAAGGCGTGTGCTCAATAAATATGAGCTGCTTGGAGGAGTAATGGATTACCTCTTGGAGTGGAGGTGGGGGGAATCCCTGGAGAGGATGGCAACTGAGCTGGGTCTCGGAAGGTAGCAAAGATTTGAAGAGATGAAGACAAGGGAGGCAGGAGAGAGGCCTTCTCATATTTGCCTTGCAGCATATCGTATCCCAGCCATAGTTAGGCCCTCTCAGGCTTGCTCTTGCCTCTGGGGTGGTGGTGGGTTTGATTCCAGCGTTGGGGAGCAACCTAAGTGCATACCCAGTAGCCTCCCCCAACACTTTCCCAGATTCACTGCGGAATTCACTCAGGGGAGTCTCTGATGAGAGCTATTTCCCACCTCACTTTCAGAGGCCACTTCCCAAGCACCCCCAGATTCCACAACAGAGCCTGAGACATCTGAAGTGCCAGGTGAAGATGAGGTAAAGGCATTCCCTCCTGCCAATGCCCTGCCTGCTCGGAGTGAGGCAGCAGCTGTGCAGCCAGTGATTGGGATCAGCCAGCGGGTCCGGATGAACTCAAAGGAGAAAAAGGACCTGGGAACTCTGGGTATGGCTTCCCCATCCAACTGCCATGGTTGGAATTCATTGAGATGCCATTTGCTGATTTTTCTGGAATGTGGCTAATAGGACCTTGTATGGTGTCCTTGGCAGGCTATGTGCTGGGCATTACCATGATGGTGATCATCATCGCCATTGGAGCTGGCATCGTCTTGGGCTACACCTACAAGAGGTTAGTAGCTACTTTGGAGTTCTCTTGGGAAGAGAGGGGTGGAAGGGACACAAAGTCAAATCAAACTTCTTTGTGGCTTTCTTACCCAAAATGAATTAAGGTGTTGAATGAAGGAAGACCAGTTCAAGATGTAGAGATGTGGTTCTAGTCTACCAGGTCATCTTCAAAAACCCTTTCCTTTGGTGCCTTTACTCCTTAGCCCAAAGCATTGTGAAATAGAGTTTCTTATTCCTCATTTTACAGATTAGGAAGTCTTTGTCAGAGATTTGAAATGAATGTCACATTGTCTGGGAGTGGCAGGACCTGGCTTTAAATCCTGCTCTTTTGATAGCAGATTCTTTGTTGTCTAACTCAAACACCTGGCATAGAAGTGAGAGGTGCCACAGAAATCAGGCTGGATACTCAATACAGGGACCTGGAGGCTTAATTCTTTTTGTGAATTATAAAATTCTGCAACTAGAAATGGATCCCAGCCCTGTTTTTGCAGATTTTTAGAAATTTTTAAATTTATCCTTTAATTTAATTTATCCTTTAGTGTAGGAAGGAAAAAGTGAGTTGGAAAAGAGTCTGTTTGCTGCTTCTCACAATGTATGAGAAAGTAAAAGGGGCTACCTAGAAGCTTATAATAGGACATCAGGAAGAGGAACGATAATTTTTAAAGTCTCCTGAGATTTGGGCTGGGGATGTGGCTCAAGCAGTAGCGCACTCACCTGGCATGCATGCGGCCCGGGTTGGATCCTCAGCACCACATACAAACAAAGATGTTGTGTCTGCCGAAAACTAAAAAAATAAATATTAAAATTCTCTCTCTCTCTCTCTCTCTCTTAAAAAAAAAAAAAAGTCTCCTGAGATGGTGTGAAAGGCTCTGAAAAATCAATGGTCTGTGATGAGAAGAGTCCCAGTCATTTTTATAGCACTGGATGATTCTGGAAAATTATTTGCTGTTCTTGAGCAAAATCAGGGGATTTGACTTCCAGCCTCTAGGGTCTGTGATATTTCCAGAGCATTTGAGGAGTCTCCCTGATAGGGAAGTGACAAGTGGCCCACATTTTCTAGTGTTGAGAGCCGTGTCTGAGGCCCTAGCGCCAGTGGATTCACTCAGCATTATATAAACCTTAGCTGTCCTTAGAGGTGTTACAATCAACCTCATCATTTTACAGATGAAAAGGGGAAGTGTTGGGTAATAATCCCTGTGGTAGCAAACACTTACCATCTGCTCAACTGTTGCAAACACTGTGCTTTAATTCACTTCTCACAGTCATTCTTATGAGGTATTATCTCCAGTTCACAGATGAGGAAACTGATACGAGAGAGAATAGGTACCTTGCCTGAGGTTTCACACCTAGCATTTGATGGAGAGAAGTCTTGCCCTTCCACTAATAGCTATCTGTGTGAGCTGGGGGGAAGGGAGGAGTGGCACATGCCTGCAGTCTCAATGACTTGGGAGGCTGAGGCAGGAGGATTGCAAGTTCAAGGCCAGCCTCAGCAACTTAATGAGACCCTGTCTGAAAATAAAAAATATAAAAAGATGGTGCCAGGTGTGGTGGCACATACCTGTAATCCCAGCAACTTGGGAGGCTGATGCAGGAGGATTGCAAGTTCAAGGCCAGCCTCAGCAACTTAATGAGAACCTGTCTGAAAATAAAAAATATAAAAAGATAGTGCCAGGTGTGGTGGCACATGCCTGCAATCCCAGCAACTTGGGAGGCTGATGCAGGAGGATTGCAAGTTGAAAGCCAGCCACAGCAACTTAGCAAGGTACTAAGCAACTTAGTGAGACCCTGTCTCGAAAAATAAAAAAGGGCTGGGGATGTGGTGGTTAAGTGCCTGTGGGTTCAATACCCAATACAAAAAACAAACAAACAAACAAACAAACAAACAAACAAAAAATATATATATATATATAAATAAAAAGATGGGATGTATCTAGAGGTAAGGCATCCCTAGATTCAATTCCCAGTGCCACCAAAAAAAGAAAAAAGTTATCTGCGTGACTGGGCAGTTGCTTTTGCTTCTGTTTTCTACTCCAGAGCCCTGCTGTGAGGCTAAGGCATTTGACTACTTAGTTTAGTGAATGGTACATAGTAAATGGTCAGTAAACAATAACTATTTTTCTTTTCTATAAAATGTGGGTACTTGACTAGTATTCTCCAAGCCCTGTTCCTTCTCTGATTTTCTGTGTTTCAGGAAGCAGAGGTCGGTCCAGAGAGGGGAAGTATTGACCTGAGGGGGCATCCTGACTCCCAGATTGAGGTTGTAGTCCATAGTGGGATAGTTGACATGGCAGGTCCAGAGACACCTGCTTGTTCATTTCAGAAAGTTAGAGGAAATGAGGTAGTGACCCTGCCCATGCAATTCATAATCAGACCTAAATCATGTTAGCTGAATTTAACTCTTGAAATATTTCCCCTGTCCTTTGCTACTGGATAGCATTTGGCTCTTTTCCAGTCTGTGACAGTTTCCAGGCCTTTTGGGTTTTGAACTAACTAAATGTCCTTAATTCCAGGCTCAGTTCTGGTGTCCAATGAGGTTACTAGCTCTTTCTTTTCCCTCCTAGATTTGTTCTTTTAGGCTGTCATGGGACTGCCCTGTGGCTTAGAATTTACTTTCTTATAAACTGAGGGGGAAGGTACCAAGTCACCAGATTTCTCGTCACTAACCACCAGACCACTCCTTTCCTTAGCAAATGTGCTCTGAGAACAGATTGTACAACAGGAAATCACGTGTGGGCTAGAAACAAGCTCTCAGTTTTCATCTCTCCCCAAGTGAGAGAAAATGGAGTGTCCTGGAAAGAGATGTTGATTGAATGTTGGTGCAGGTGATGTCTGAACCTTGATATACTGTCTATTAAATAGGGATACATCCCCCTCTGTTCCCACGATTATCATTAAGCATTACACATAAGTAGTAGTATACCAATCAGATAATAATCACAATGGCAGGCAACATTTATTTCCTGCTTTTCTCCCCCTGCTTTTTTGTGTGAGTGTGTGTTTGTTAGGGATCAAATCCATGGCTTCACACATGCAAGGCAGGCATTCTACCACTCACTGAGCTACATCCCAAACTTATTCCATGCTTTTTGTTTGTTTGTTTGTTTTTGGAGGGGACTTGAACTCAAAGGAACTTTACCTCTGAGCTACATCCTCAGCCCTTTTTATATTTTGAGACCGGCTTATGGTCTTGCTAAGATGCTGAAGCTGGTCTTGAACTTGTGATTCTCCTGCCTTAGCCTCCCAAATTGCTAGGATTACAGATGTGCACCACTGTGCCTGGCTGTTTTAAGCTTTCTTACTTTTTCTTTTTCTTTCTTTCTTTTTTTTTTCTTTTTTTGTGGTGCTGCTGGGGATTGAACCCAAGGCAAGCACTCTACCAACCGAGCTATATCCCCAGCCCTTCATGCTTTCTTTCTTTTTTTAAAAAAAAAAGTTTTATTAATTTTTTAGTTGTAGTTGGTTGGACACAATACCTTTATTTTATTTATTTTTATGTGGTGCTGAGGATCGAACCCAGGGCCTCCAAGGTGCTAGGCGAGCGCTCCACCACTGAGCCACAACCCCAGATCCCCCTCTACACACTTCATGCTTTCTTAATAAAAAAGACCCTACTGTATATTCTTCACTGATTATCTTGCCTAAGCCTCAAGACCACCTTAGAAGCACTATTACACTGTTTTACAGCAAAAAGTTGAGACCTAGAATAGTTAAGTACCATGTCTAAGCTATATAACCATTAACGTATGCCTAAAGATTATTAGTATTTCCAAAAAGTCCATCAAAGCCTAGTAGCTTCATATAAATTTGCTTTGAACTGCAAAGGGCAGTAGGAAAAGGAGAGACTTTCCAGAAAACAGCTGGGTTTAGAAGTTAAAAGAAACAAGATCTAGTTCTGGAACTCCCTCTAATTCTGAATGTGATATTAGACAAGTTATTTACCATCTCTAGGCTTCAGTTTACTAATCTGTAAAATGGAGCAAGGAATTAGATATAATGATCCTCTCTCCTCTAATATTACCTAAAACGACAATACAGTCTGATGGTGGCTATAGGCAATGATCGTTCAAATCCCATTTCTGCTGTTAACTTGAACGGATGATTTAACCTTTCTGCATTTGCCTTCACATCCTTGAAACAGTAATCATAAACAATACTAATATGATTGTTGTGGGATGGAATTAGTGTAGTTTGGGAGTATAGTTAGTGTTCATAACCTATAGTTACCTTGGGAAACCCATCCTGAGCACCAGGGTGGTGTAGCATTGCTTCTGATTGGGAAATAAATAGCAGCAGTTCACAGCAATAATTGAAGAAACCTGCTTTGCCTGAAGGAGGTCTGTGGTGCTTCCATAATCCTGGGAAAGGCAAGCAGAAGCTTCATGCACACCTGCTTTCTCTGGGCGGCCCAGCTTGCTATCAATTCTGGAGCAGTTGGAATTACTGCAAGCCTTGAACTCTGCCAAAGGCCATGGGGCTTTGCTAATGGGATGGAGCTTTCCCCTAGCTGGAAAGGGTGGCCAGGCACCAGGCTTCCTCTCTGGGGAAGAAGGGCTGCAGGTGGGGGTTGATAGGAACTCAGCCTGGCTAAGTCTTTGTCTTGGTCGTCTAGGCTAGAAGGTTTAGATGGCCAGTCTCCTACTGGGCAGCTCCCTGTCCCTGCTCCAAGTGTAGTGTCTGTATTAGCTCCAAAGGGAGCTCTTATTTTCTGATAAAAAGGGAGGGAAAAACAGTAAGCCAACACCACTCCACCCCCTTGGGAGAGGAGCTGAGTCAGTGAATAAGCCTTTTGTTCTTTCTTGGCTGCCAGACAACAGCCTGCCTGTCCCCCATCCCTACCAAGTGAGAGGGGGCTGGGCTGCATAATGGTTAGTGCAGCAGGTCTGGTGGCATTTCTCTGGTCTCCCAAGGGAGCTAAGGGTAGCCATTCCATCACCAGAACTCATAAGCAGCATTTACAGCAGGTACGTGGGGTCGGGTGTGCTTCCAGGCTTCTAAATGTATGAGACTAATCCAGACTAGTCCTAGCATCTGCTTCCTTTATCCTTGGTTGCTCTTCCAGTTCAGCTCTGCCTCATTAACACAAATTGATTTTTTTTTTTTTGTCCCCTGAAGAGTTGTGTATGATACCGCCTGACAGTTAGCAGCAGCTCACAGCCATATGGTTGGTAAAGGAGGAAGTTGAGAAGCAGGGCTCTCTGGAGTCAGACTCCAAAGCCTCAGTTTATTAATCTAGAAAACGGGGATAACATTATCTTACAAGGTTGGAAGTTAAAAGATGGTGCATATGGCTGGGGATGTGGCTCAAGCGGTAACACGCCTGCCTGACATGCGCAGGGCGCTAGGTTCGATCCTCAGCACCACATAAAAATAAAATAAAGATGTTGTGTCCACCGAGAACTGAAAAATAAATATTAAAAAAAAGATGGTGCATATATAAAGTGTGTGGCATCCAGTAAGTGCATAGGTAGCTCTTCTCATCCTGGATGATGGAAAGGTCATTTCTTGGTATCTTGCTAGGTATTTGGGAAGTTAGGAGTTCCTGGCTTTCCTTCTTCTTCCAGCCCCTTAGATTTTGAAATTTAGACCTTGGCAAAATATACTTGCAATACTCCATTTTTTTTGTTGTTGTTTTTTGTTTGTGTGTGCTTTCTGAAAACTAGAGATTGAACCCCGGGGTGCTCTACCACTGAGCTATATCCCCAGCCCTTCTTGTTTTTTTTTATTTTGAGACAGTTCTCATTAAATTGCTGAGGCTGACCTTGAATTTGCTATCCTCCTGCCTCAGCCTCCACAGTTGCTAGGATTACAGGCTTTTTTTTTTTTTTTTTTTGGTGGGGGGTGATGGTTATGACTATGTTGCCCAGCTTGGCCTTGAACTGGTGAGCCTCCCTTTTCATCCTCTGAGTAGCTGGGATTACAGGAGTGTGCAATCATGCCTACTTCATTCTTTTTTTTTTTTTTGTAAATTGCCTTTTGGTTTTCTACAGGCTTGGGGGCTTCCTTACTGAAATTAAACCCAGACCTTCCAAATCTTTCCCTACTGTGCTGGGTGCAATGACACACACTTGTAATTCCAGTGACTCAGGAGGCTGAGGCAGGAAGACTGAAAGTTTGAGGCCAGCCTCAGCAATTTAGCTAGATTGTGTCTCAAAATTAAAAGGACTGGGGGTATAGCTCAGTGGTAAAGTGCTCCTAGGTTCATTCTCTATTTTGATATGGCCCCAGGAAACAAAAATCCGTATTTCTTCCTACATGAGCAGGCTTGAAGAATGTGGCTTTTTGTTTTATTATGGAGGTAGGTATTTCCTTCTGTGTGGTGGCAGCCCATAACTGATGAAATGTCCAATGAATTTTAGGACATGAATGGGGAGAGCACTTGGTCCAGATAACCATCTTCTCATAAATAGTGTTCCTCTATTTCCCCTTTGAGTGATCTGGGAGACTTTCTGTTGTGGAAGTTGATGGTGTTCAGTACAAGGCTAATGAGAATGGGGCAGGAGCCTTGGCTTGCACACGCAGATACATGGTCACCCCCAGCCACCCTGGGTGACTCAGGAGGAGCTCACAAATCTGCTTCCTATGACCTTACAATGACAGGGAATCAGAGCATATTTCATGTGAGGGAGCCTAGAGTGTCAAGGTCCCTGGAGATTATCAAATCCAACTCCTTATTTTACAGATGACAAAATTAAGGCCCAGAGAGGAGAGGATTATTGAGGTCACATAAACAATACATGCCTTGGCTGGTCAGTGGGAGAGTTTTCTTGGGAAACCAAGTTAAGATAACATTGCTTGGTGAGTCAAGTCTTATTCAGGGTAAATCATAATATCCTGTGAGTTTTTACATCAGTTTTAGTATTTTCAAATGATTTCACGTTAATCATGTTGGTTTGAGACAGATGAGGAAGCAAAGCTCAGAGAGGCTGTTTTGCCAAGTGTCATGTAGCTTGGCTTAGCCGATATTAGAACAAAAGTAAAGAGAAATCGATGATTTATAGACAGTTGTTAGGCAACTATGCAAGCTCTTCTTCCTCCAACCCCTCCCTGTCAATATTATTATCCAGTCTCTGGGTGTTTCCATTACACTTCACATCAAGATGGATAGTTAATCCATTTGATCATGGCCATGTCCTTGAGGAAATCTGAAACAAGTTCCTGTGTTATTTTATACCATGTCAACCATCAGCCATTTATTTCAAGGCTCCTTCTCAGAGGATTTCCTCTGATGACTGAGCCCAAGTTGCTGGCTTTGGACAAGGATGCCAACTTGGGTCCTGGGTCTTGGTTCTGGTGGGCAGTGTGCTGGGCATTCACCAAGCCCTGTGGTCAGCACTGGAGTGTGGCCAAATATAGTGCTAAGGGCCCTATATGTGCAGTCAGAAAACAGGGTTTATTTCTTAGGGGATGACCTTGATCAGTCAGAATTTCTCTGAGCAGCCAGAGCCCACCAATTCTTGGTGAGTCAAGTCATATTCAGGGCAAATCATAATATCCTGTGAATTTTTACATCAGTTTTAGTATTTTCAGATGATTTCATGTTAATTATGTTGGTTTGAGACAGATGAGGAAGCAAAGCTCTAGTCCAAAGATTCTACATTTTTGGAGTGTTCTTTAACTTCTCTGGGCCATTTAATTATCTATAAAGTGAATAAGACCTAACTCTTAGGGTTGAGCTGAGAATAAAATAAGATAGTATAGTGCTTAGCATGGAGTGAGCACTCCCCATGAGTTAAATGGCAATACCATGGCCTGACTGTGTCACTGAGCACCATGAGAATTCAAAGATATATAAAAACTCTGGGAGGTCAGATAATCATTCTAGTTTCTTCTTGACCTGAACATCCCTCAGAGCCCTTTTGGTTCCTTGCATGGGTTGGGAATGGTCCACTAACAGTCTGTGCTCATGCCTTCCGGGACTTTTAAGACAAGAATTCTATCTCTTAGCAGGATGGTCAGATCCATTTTCTAGACAACTTTAAGGATTAGGGATGAAACTGGGTTAGTTCTCTGAATCTGTCGGAACCCTGGACCAAAAGAACAAAACAGTATCTTACTTTTAAGACCCTTTCCTCTATATTATTTCCTCTGGACCCCCTGCCACTTTGTGAGGCTCATACTGTTATTACCCCCATTTTACAGATGGGGAAGAAGAAATCCAGATGTTCAGGAGCTTCTTGGTGAGTTTAAGGTAGTCTTAGACCTAGGTTAGCATTAGTCCTGGTTCAACCAATCATTGTTTTTTTTTTTTTTTTTTTTTTTGTGGCCAGGGTGAATGACTACTCTTGTTTGGGCCTTGGGGATGCTATCTAATTGAGTGAGGTCATGAAGTAGGCATAGCCTGATCACTTCCTTCTTTTCTTGCCAGGGGGAAGGATTTGAAAGAACAGCACGAGCAGAAAGTGTGTGAGAGGGAGATGCAGCGAATCACTCTGCCCTTGTCTGCCTTCACCAACCCCACCTGTGAGATTGTGGATGAGAAGACCGTTGTGGTCCACAGCAGCCAGACTCCTGTTGATCTGCCAGAAGGCAGCACCCCCCTCATGGGCCAGGCTGGCACCCCTGGGGCCTGAGCCCCTCCAGTGGGCAGGAACACATATAGACACTGGTGCAGGACAGCCCGCCCTCCTTCAGCTGGGAGGATCAACATTTTGTGTTGTGGTTAAAACCTAACCCCATTTTTTTTTTTTTGGGTGAATCCTCATGATAGAAGCAGGTAGGGCTGTGGGGGAGGCTGAGTAGGGTCCTATCAATGCTCATTCTTCATCCCTTAGAGCAAGATTTTGCCTGTGGATGGGGACAGTAGCATGGCTCCCAGAGTGGTGCTGCTGACAAGGGCTTCCACATATTTTCTGTGCCCCTAAAACTGGACTGGGAGCATAGGGAGCTCCCCCAGGCTCCTCTGTGCTTTAACTGTGTAAGACAGCCTCAACCTCTGCCTTTCTGTTTGTTCTCCATGAGCTTGAGTGGCATAAACTGTTATTCATAGTTCAGGCCAAGAAGGTCAAGAGGAGGCACTGAAAGAATACAGTTTTTTTCAGTATTTGGGATGGAACTCCTTACTGACCTTTGAGAACCGGAAGTGAGTTTGTACAAAAGTCAGAACTTTGGGCTGAGAACAGGATCTTGGCCTGGGCCTGCTGGGTGTGCTCCAGCTTGCTGGCAGTGATGTGCCTTGACAACCATGGGCCAGGTCTGGGCCCAGGGACTCTTCCTGTTTCGTAAGGAAAGGAAGGGAAGAATTGCACTAAACATTCCACTTAGGAAGAGGGTAAAGAATGATCTGCTCCTGCCTTAGGCCCCAGAGGCAGAGGTGAATCTGGGGAGCCCCAGACCATCTCTCTTCTGGGGTAAACAGTGACCTCTCTTCATTTTGTGCAGGTAGGAGAGTAGCTAGCTAACTTGTGGGAATTATTTACAGTGGGGTCTGGTGAGCTGCTTTTGACTGAACTCAGAGGCAAGGTAACAGCACTTCAGGGCTTGTGCCTGCAGTGCACTTTGGTTTGCAGGTGGCTTTGTAGTCTCCAGGCCAGCGCCTTCCTGTGCAGCAGTGGGGTTAGGGTCACAAACCCTAACTTGTAAAACAATCATAGAACATTGGAAAGGACTTTAAGATTCTCCAAGTTTCTTAGACATGGGCCCAGAGAGAAAGTGACTTGCTCAAGGCTATTCTATGGCCAATAGAGCTGAACTTCCTGAGTACAACATTTTTCCACTGCACTGTGCTCCTGCTCAGCAGGCCCTCCAAACCCTGATGTCACACTTGGAGGACTTGGCAATGCTCCCTAGCCACAGAGCTTCCTTCCACTGCCCCGTGTGGAGAGGTGGGTGAATGGGGCCCATTTCCTTCAACTGACTGCTCCCTGGAGCCATTTGCTGAGGGCACCTAGACCTCAGGGGGAGCTCCCCCAGGAGTCCCTTGGGTATTAATGATGTTAGGGAAAAGAACATTACTGGTTTCTACTTTTCTATAAAAGGATTTCTCTGTATACATGTTTTATATACCTCATTCTGACACCTGTGTATAAAGTACGGGAAATTGCTGTGTATTTGACTAATATAAAAACAAAACTCCATGTTGCCAAGCTTTTGTGAGGTATTGTAGGTTACTTTGTCAACAACTGTGTGTGAACATTGCCCTTCTTTTCACTCACTCTAGCCTGTATGTGAAAGGCAGCAACAGTTAAATGGTTGGAAATTGCACCTTCTGTGTCCTGTTGTCATCACCAGGAATCTTTCAAGTTGAAGCTGTGGGAAGGATGGATGTATGGGTGTCTCAAGAAGGAAGTTGGTCACTGCCAACCACCCCCCCTTCAATGAGTTTGAAATGAAGAGAATTAAAGTGAACATCCATACTGTCCTTGTTAGGGACTAGACAAATGGATGGGTGGTAATACTGTGACAACCAAAAGAGGAATGGGTATGGTTGAGGAGGATGGATCTTTGGGCTGCCAGGAGCAGACTTTGGCGGAGGAAGCTGTCTGTGGCTGAATCCTAGGGCTCTAGATCAAAAGCTATAACACAGGAATGTTTTTTGGACTTCTGGCAGGGGATTTTAGCAATAGGTGCTCAGGCTCTAGGTATACCCAAGGGTGTCCTCTGCCCTTGGGTATACCTAGAATACCTGAATTTTTTTCAAGGAACATTTTTTGCCCTTACATTGGATTCCTCAAACTATGGGGAATACAAAGGAAAAATTACCTTTATATCTTTGGGTTTATGGATTTATATTATGCCCATAAACAGGCAGCATCAACTTGCCCCATGGTCAATCTTCCATAACATCCCTCAGGACCAGACGCACTTCCTACACACAGGGTGGGATAAATGCATGTGTTTCTCCCCATCACTAAGATGGTACATAGCCCTGTGGAAACAAAGTCAGGAAACCCAGGCTGTATGTGTTCATATATTAAGAGGTAGGAATAGAGGGCTCCTGAGGACTTGGCTGGCAGGTGGGAGCCAGCACAGTAGTTTGTGGAGCCAAGATGAGGTCATAGCCCTATTTCCCAAAAGGGGCTGCCTCAGGTAAGATGTGCACATTCTCTGGAGCAGGCTGAGGTCTGCCTCAGGAGATGGGAACTAGTTTTGGGAGTGTGAAAACCCCCTGCTATGGGGAGTCATATGGCCTGGATGGAAAGGTGGCCAGTAGACGTTCCATACTTCTGTCTCCGAGTCAGGCACCAAGTCACTTTTTCACTCTCAGTATTGTCAGTTATGTTAACTGCTTAATTTATTTATTTAGTCTCAATGGCCCAGGTCAGGCCCACCACTCCCACACTTGCTGGGGACAGATAAAGCACAACCAACCATACAACGCTAAACCACGTTGCTGCTGGAAGTCCAGGACTCAACCCTACAGCAAACCTGCAAACTCTACACAGAAGTATAGACTAAACTCTGGCCAGAAATGACATCCCCCAACTCATCCAGTCTATGTACATTATTTCACATATCACCCAATAGATACAACAAGATAATATTAACAGCAACCACTCTTTTGTATCACACACCCCCACCCCCAATACAACCACCACACATTGCATTTATACCCCAAACCCATTCCCAATTTGTTAAATATGGTGCAAGCTCACAGACACTTAGGCAAATCTAGTTGTGCTGTAGAATCCCTTGAGGTCTGGGAACTAAGGTGGAGGGTACCTCCAGGGCTTTCCAGTGCCCGTGGCCCTGGAGTGTGGCTCAGGAGGCATAGTCAGGAGCTATGAGCTGGGCCAGCCTACAAGGGAGGTAGAAGCCAGATGGCCAAGCTCAGGGAGCTGTCTCAGTGTCTTAGATCTGAGATTCTGCTACCACCTCATCCCAATCCAAGTTGCTATTTGGAATAGGAATGTTGATGGGTGAGCAGTGGTTATAATAAGGGTGGGGCCAAGAGACTGTGAGACACCCACCCCAACCCCCGCCTCAGACCTTAGGCCTGTGACAAAGCCATACAATCCTCCAGAACTCATCTAGTTCTAGGTAAAATGTCTCGGGCTTTTGACTGAGGAACCCACCAGAGTATGAGTTATGAGAGACTGAAGCCAGGATATGGGTTTTCTAAAGGACAGAACCTCTTTCTCTCTAGCCCCCAGTCAGTTTCTGTGCTCTTGGTGACTGCTTATTGAGAAAAGGATGCCACCCAGAATTTCTCAGCCAGTCTCTAGTAGTACACTTTGAGAACACAAAGTGGAAGATCCTCACACATTGATATAGTTCCTAAGCTGGCTAGAGCCACCCGCTGGCAGATTGTATGAATTAACCCTTTTAAGATTCTTGGTCAGTTCCATCATACACTATAGGACTCTTCACACCCTACTCAGAACATGGAGTGGAAATGGGGAATATCACTGTCATTTTATACCCTTCAAGTGCCACTTGGCCACCAGTCTTCCTCTCATCCACACTCCTACTTGAAGTCCTTCCTCAACCCAGCTGGTCCAGAGACTTCAGAGCCCATAGGCAGGTTCACCCTGGGATCCTGCCCAGCAGGTCCAAGTCATGTCAATTAGTGTAAGCAAGAGCCTCCTGGAATCCCATTGCCAGGGAGTTCCCAAGGGGTCCCGAGTAACAGATTCTTCCTGGCCCAGAGTCCAGGCTTTTTCTTCTTCACAGCTTTCAGGCGAGTGTTGGACTTATAGACAGTAACCAGGCCCCAAAACCTAGAGAGATGTGTTTTCCTGGTGTGCGCCTGCTCGCCTCCTGGGGAGGTAGTAGAGATGGCTCATTCTGCTTCTAAACAAGCCGCCAATCCACAGGAAGCCCAGACAGCCCTGCTCACAGCAGGGACAGGGCACAGAGGGGCAGTGCTGGCTGTGGAACGCCCCCCTGCAGGGGGCTGGGCTGGGGCTAGGGGGGTGAATCCCGGGTCAGGCCGTACTGCATGCTCACAGTGTGGTCCAGCTCCTCCAGCTCTGCAGGCAGTGGGATGCCCAGCTCTCCCAGATACAGGGAGAGGGCCTCAAAGGAATCCTCCAGTTTTGAGAATGCTGGTCTAGAAAAAAATGGGGTGAATTAAAGGCAGATGGAAATCAGTAGGACCATGGGGTGGTATGAAAGGAATCCAGGCAGAGGCTCAGTCACTTCCTGGTTATGACCTCAGGCAAATCCTTTAACCTCCTTATGCCTCCAAGAGAAATGGGCATAATATGTTACTGTTCCCTCACAGGATTACTATAAAGGTTAAAGGATAACACTGTGCGAAGGTGGGCCCAGCTGAGTGCACTGGTACATGCCTGTAATCCCAGTGACTCAGGAGGCTGAGGCAGGAGGACTGTAACTTTGAGATCAACCTCAGCAACTTAGCAAAGTTGAGACCATCCCTAAAAAATAAAAGGGCTAGGGATGTTGCTCAGTGGTTAAACATCTCTGGGTTCAATCTTGGCCCCCAAAACCAAAAAACTTTCTTTGTGCAACTTAGCAAGGCCCCCCCCCAAAAACATTTATCATGTTGGACCAGGGATTTTGGGTGTTTCAGGCACGCATTCTACCACAGAGCCATATCCTCAACCCTTCTAGTTCTCTTATAGTCCAGAAGACAGCAATCCATGTTTAAAATTAAAATTTGTACCCTAAACAATCTTCTTTACTTGGATTGACTTTTTCTTCACAACATTTGTCACCTTCTAAATATTCAATATAGTTTATTTTCTGTTGTTGATGAACTCCTCTTG